GAGACTCAGAACTCCCGCCATGACACTGGCTGTAAAAACTTATGATATACAATGACATCAGCAAAAACACTAAGGCCCAGGTCAAACATCAATCTTCACAGGAGATGAACTAAATTGCAATTTGAGTCAATCCAAACAGGCAAAGCTTGACCATTGGGTCAAATGTCAAACTTAGAATTTAGATCGACAAACACGTGTTGGTCAATCTAAATTCAGTCACACAAACTCAGTTAAGTCAGACATAGAACTTATCATGAACTTCATTCACTCAGTTTAGTTCATCTCATGTGAAGTTTGGCCTTTGACCTGCACTTGAAATTCCAAAAACTATTGGCTTTACTGATTCTTGGGACAGGAAACCTTTTTATGTCCTTTAGTTGGGTGTCCACAAAGTAAGCATTTGGGTGCTGCTTTTTTCTCCTCGGCTGCCACTGGAATGTTTCCAGGTTCTTGAACTTGATTTACTAAAATGCAATGGGCAAAATGTCATTTATATTTACTGTTACCCTCTGTGGCGGATGTAATGGATAAGTAAAGCAAGTGTGACATAAATAGTTCAGTCTGTATCCAGTGAAGGTCAAAATTGAATCAATGGATGAGCACTCTCAAGCCAAGATCTATAAGAGTAAGCCAGAACTAAGCAACGGCGATGTAAATGCTGACTGTTTTTATTCATTAGCGGAGACATTCAAATCAGTTGCCAGTCGCATGGAGTTTGGTTACGATAAACCACGGATAAACCGTCACGCTACTGCAATCGTTAGCTGATATTTGTGCTTTCAGCTTAGAATACTAGATGTAACACAGATATACCTTTAAAAATTAGCCTTTATGCTTAAACATTTGCCAGTAAGAGCTAAAATGTAATGTTTAGCATGAATATTTTGAGGGCAAAAGTTCTATTTAACTTGTGAGTTTATTAATGGAGCCGTCACGCAAAGTGTCATCAAAAGTCATCAATTAACAAACTGACGTCAGTTTTTCATGCATCTGTCCTGTTACTGATCATGAATTCCTAGTTAATGTTTGCGCTACACGACTACCGGCGAGGAGTGACAGGGAATGCAAAGGGGCGAGGCACCAGAGGCCCGGTCCCCGAAGCGAGTTGAGGTCCGGACTGAGGGGTAGGTGCGTGGA